TCCCAGCACAGTGGTGGGACCTTGTCAACCACCACAACAGGACACAACCTCCAGAATCTTAAAGCAACGTTTAAAAACCAAAAAAACCTCCCTGTTTCTCAAAGCATCCTGTAAGAACCACCACGTACAGCTGTATTAGTTTGCTCTGCATAATTCTTTGGCTTGAATTTGCCCAGATGCTCTCACATTTGTTTATTGCTACCGCACACCAGAACAGCATGAATATATAAATTAAGAGAACAAGAAAACACCAAATTAAAGATTATTTTGTCTTAACATTTGATTATAGAAAAAAAAAACCCAAAAACCACTTATAGGAGCGTTTTGACCAATTTGGACTTGAAGATCTCCCGGTTACATTGGGTTACATCAGTGGCAAAAAAACCGAGGTACTCAAAGATGCCAAAAAATAAGCTTGAGAATGGAATATCAAAAAGAACCCAAGAAACATTAAAATCAAGGATCCAGAGCTGAAACGGTAGAGGAAGGAAGAGACCACTCTCCCACTCGGCTTTCAAAGAGCTCATTTCAGTGCGAGGTGGTGGAACCACCCCATTCTCAGGGGCTCTGGACGTCAAATGAATTCAGATCCTCTGTTTTTCACATGAGAAAACAGAAGAGCAAGAAAACGGTGCTGTTGTGCTGCTCGATTCCTCTGCTAGAAGCCAAACCTGTTCTCCTATTAAACTAAAAGCAAGTTTTATTTTTAGCTGGAGAGTGTGAGTTAAAGAGAGATTTTTCTTATATGAAAGGAAGCTGCAAGGAGCGAGCGGGCGAGAAGTGCATTGTGGGGAATTCGGGCTGCTTCCAGCCTGGCTGGTGTCAAAAGTTAAACAAATTCCCAAGCCAGAAGGGCTAAAGAGAGATCTGAGGCTTGAAACACTCGGATGGGGACAGCCCCCGCTTCAACTTCAGGGTGTGAAGAGCCATTTGTGAAATGTAACAAAGCAACCCCACACCACCACCGACCGAGCTGCCACCCGGCTCCTCAGCGTCAGGCCCAGAGGCTGGGTGTGATGGGAAGGGCATTGCGATGGGGTGGGGAGCCAAAGCTCTCAACACTTCTGTGCCCACAAGACAGGCAGCCGAGAGCAGACTCGCTACCAAGGCTGTTCCTGCCACCTCGCTCGAGCCGCGCAGCTCCCTGATTTATTTAGCAAATTTTAAATCAGCAGACGGATTTACTTGGGAGAATCTGATTAGTGGCAGTATCGATCCGCGCTGCGCAGCAGATCTGGAGAAGCTGCAGAGCGCGGTGAACTGCATTACAATCAACGCCGCCCGCTCCCCCTCGCCGGGGAGCTGAGCACAGAGCCCCAGACTTGCTTACCCGGCAGGACCGTGTTTGTCCTTTGACTCGACAAATTCTTGTCCCATTTTCAGCTTCTCCCACTCTTCTTTCCGGGTCTTGATTTTCCGCGGATTCACGTTTCCTCTGTTCGGATTCTCCTTTTTCTCTTTCTAAAGGAGGAAGAATCAAACAGAAACCTCATTTTGCTGGAAACTCACTGGGAATAGGGAGGGATATGCCAGACCTGCAGCAGTTTCAAGAAGATACGGTCTCAAGGAGGGCCAGGATTTTTAATTTACTTTCCCGATCGCTGCAAGCTCCAAAGACCTCCCATACAAAGAAGATGGAGTGCAGACAGCGTTAAAAAAAAAGAAAGACAGCATCAGATTTCCCCAGTGCAGCCCAGACGTGATGCCATCGTTACTCCCTGGCATGACCACCTCGAGGGCAGAGCGAAAGCTCAGTTTCCCACATCAATTCAGGTTTTGGCCTCTGTGTCAAGGCTGCCAAATCTCGCCGTCACCTCGCTGGCGTTAAGTGCTTTGGGTGTGCAACGTGGACACTCGGCCACAAAGAGCTGGGGCTTTAACGAGCCCCAGTCTCTGCATTCTGACATGCCCCAAATCTCTCCTTTGTTATTGTGATTGAAAAATCATGATGTGTTTTGATATTTAACACTCAAAAAGCTAAACAAAAAGTCTGCTCAAACCGAATCTTGTATGGTGTAAGTTTCGGTGTTGGTAAACACGGGTCCAAATCCCCAGGCAGCCAAACCAGGAGCTCTACCTGGTTTTAAATGGTTTTGTTAAGCCTCCCGCTTGCCCCTAATTTAAAATGAGGGCCTGGTTTTGCACTCCTGAAGGGACATTTTCTCCTTCCTTTATTCTTCCACAGCTGAATTTACTGCACCCCTCGACACACTGCGGTGCTGGGGCAGTGGGATTTGCACTGCTTGGACACTGAGCAGCCCCCTGCGCGACATCCGAAGTGCAGAAAAGGCGCCAGCACAACTTCCTCCCCCGCTGGCTGCACCGGCGCTGTTTGAGGACTACAAATTAAGCCATTATAACCATACAAAGACGGTGGCATTTGGAAAAACAGATTAAGGGTATCTTTGTTTTCCTTTTTTTAATTAACAAGGATGAGAGCAAACCAGATTAAAAACTTCACTGAATTGATCCCTAAAGAGTTTAGGAGAGCAAACCTGAATTTCGGATAGCAGCTTTGGAGTCCAAGATTCATTAGCACTTCCCACCTCCTTTCTTCCCTGACATGCCCCTGCTGGCAGCGATCTCCCATTTCCTCACCCTGTGTTTCCGCTTCTCTTTCATAATATCCTTGGTGTCCTGAAGCATTTTCTCTTTCCAAAGGTCGAAGAAATATGAAGGATCTGTGTAGAATTTAAGCGCCTCTTTGCCATCATCCCTAGAAGAGGGAGGAAGAAAAAAACCACACAAATAAGGACCAAGTCATGCATTTCTCCAAAGAAAACAGGAGGCACAACCCCAGATGACAGTTTAAAATGCTCTCCCCGCTTGCCATCGCTTTTGCCCTCACACAAACTCTCCATTACTCAGCACCTGAAGAGCTCAACCGCTCTGAACAATCACCAAGAGAGGAGCAGGTCTCTCACTTCAACTCCCACTCGTTTGTGTTGTATATTTGGTGTGAAAAAAACCAACCCTTCTCCAGCCCAGGAACCCTAAATCAGACCAGCAGCGTCCTTGAAACTCATGAGCGAGCGCACACACACGCAGACTCTCCTCCTACTTTGCAGTGCAGCCGTGTCTGGCAGAAGACAGCTGCCTCCAGCTATCTGTAATTACTTTTTACCTGTTCAAAAGATATTTATGGATGTGGGCTAAGTCTCTGTATTCTGACCCCCTCTACTTCTACTACCTACAAGGTGAAATCAGAGGGGCACTGATCAGGAGAACTGGTTACACAGCCAGTGTAGGTCACATCAGATGTCAGCAACCAGGCACAGAAGGCCACAGAAAGACATCTCCAGGAGTCTGCTGCACCCACCTGGGTGAGAGCCGTTTACAGATGTACGCTCTGCAGTTTGCACTGCGGCTTTCTGGAAAGGAGCCACAGGGTTACAGAGAAGCACACGAAAAATGCATCATCTGCACAACACCTAGCATGTTTATGCAGTGCCAGCCAAGCCTTGCCCCGAGGCACTCGCAAAAGTGACAGCAGGTAACCAAATATATAATTTTCTAGCTACACTCATTTGTACAGCCCCAAAAGCAAAGTTTCACATAATCCAGAGGATGGAGGTTTCCTGGTGGATCTCAGTTTCGCAAGCCAATTTTCAATTGGAAACAGCTACTTCAATACAACACGGGATGGGAAATGACCTCCTCGGCAGAGATACTCCTCTGCCAGGGAACAAGGGGAGGGAAGGTGCTGCACCCATACCTGTACGGTGAGAGAATGTTGAGCGGTGGGGGAGTATTGCAGGTCCTGTAGGTTTCAAGGACAGGCACGGGGAGAGAATCTCTGTCGAAGAGCTTCTGGTCCTGAGTAGTGGAGCTTTTGAAGGCCTTCCTGGTGTTAATGCCTTGCAGGGAGACTGTAAGAAAGAGGAGAGAGCAAGTGAAGAACGGCTTGACCCAGACCAATGACACCAAAGATCAAGCAGTGAACATCTGATTTCAGTTGGAGTTCTTGGCATGCTTCACACTTCTTAAGGTCAGGTTCCTATTCCCACCGATCTCTTGGGAAACCCAGCAAATCTCGGGTCACGCTCTGCCAAGATCCACTGCTGTGTAGACGCGGCTCTCTTGAGAGCTGCCGACGTGGTTTTGAGCCCCTGTGACCAAGCATCGCGGAGCACCGCTATCAAACTGCTGAAAAGCACGTTTCCACATGGAGACTCGCTAACGAGCAAACCTGGGCTCAGCCAGAAGGGTTATCCACGAGCAGCACGATGCTTTCTCACGGTGGGAGGAAACAGTCCCTCTTGGTCCAAGAGAAGACTTTCCAACACCCATCACGGCGCCGTGCTCATTTTATGGCCGTGAACCAACCGCGCTGACTCAATGAGAACCGTTACCACGCTCGGGCTGCAAGGACTGCGCTCCACTCCATTACCTTCTTCCTCTTTGGGATCCAGCTGAGTGACTTTGACTTGCAAGCGGTCAACTCTCTCGACTAGAACGCTCACCCGAGAGGCAAAGGTGTTGGCTTGAGTAAACAGCTCTCTAAATATGTCTTCTGCAAATTTACCTGGAATATTAAAATATTCACGTTACCCTCGTGAGCCACGGACCATATTCAATCTCCCAGCCTGTTTTCTTGAAGAAAGAAAGAATGAACCATGCTTTTTTTTTTTCCAGGTTTGTCAGAGTTGAGTTTAACATCCAGGAAGAACACACACCGCTGTACCAAAACCTGACGTTTCCAAGGGATCTCCAAGCAATAAAACAACCGAGATGGACTTTCAAGTCATTATTAAAGTAACGAAATAAAGAGGGCTGACCACGCTACACTGGTCTGGATCTGGATGGGTCTGTAGGTCCGTTAAGATTCTCTGCTGCTCTGTTTATTAGACAAGCAAATACAGTTGGGTTTTTATTGCTCTGGAGAATCTCAAAGGCTCCCAGTCTCCAGCAGGCCTGCCTCCAGGGTAACTGGCACATATTTACAAGCTCAAAGAGCTCCAACTAGAAAGCAGACCCAGTCGCTGATCCTGAAGCCTGAGCTATAACCACAGACGAAAGCACTGACCCTTTTGTTCCTTCAGGTGGCAGTGTCTGAAAAATTGATGCATTCACGTTTATCCTAAATCAAAACCAAAGGGGAACTTCTCAAACGGGGATATTGGAGTCTCCTTCTCTGGAGACATTCAAAACCCGCCTGGACGCCTTCCTGTGCAACCTCATCTGGTGTTCCTGCTCCGGCAGGGGGATTGGACTGGATGAGCTTTTGAGGTCCCTTCCAATCCCTGACGTTCTGTGATTCTGTGATATTCTCTCTGTAACAGCTTGGATCACCCAGTGGGCTGCGGTGACAAACACCATCCATCGTTTGGACTGCGAGAGCGCCCAGGGGCTTGGATCAGGAGCTCACTGCACCACTTCCAACCAAACAAAGAAGATGGCCCCTGTCCTTAAGAGTTTAAAACCTACGCGTGCAACAAGAGATGACCACAGGTAACAGAGGTGGGAGGGCTGGAAGAAAACCAGGAACTTATGATGGGTTTCTTCTGTTCTGCTTTCGGGCCTAACCCAAGACAGGGAGCCCTCACCACGCCGAGGACAACGCTGATCCGAGCAGACTTGGCACTGACGGCAGACGCAGGCCCATGGAGTCCCCACTGATGGGAAACATTTCCAGGCACGGCTGTTGAGCGCAAGGCTGCTCCCAATAAGCAGTCTGGGTTTGAAGTGCACCATCATATGGTCAACAGTTTGTTCTGGAATCTGTTACTAAATCCTGAAGATCCTCTCTGACATTCAGGAAAGGATAACCAGTTGGATGTCTAACTTTAAGAGCAATTTTGGAAAATGTGGCTGTCTGCAATGAGTCACATCAGAAAGACAAGCACCCTTTCCACTAGAAAACGCGAGGGCATCCCCCAAAGCCCAGCTGCACAAATACTTCCAGCTATCTAAACCCACGTATCAGCTACTTGCTCATACTCCCATGCAGTCGCCCTTACACCGCCAAGCACGGGGAACCAGCCAGGTTAAAAATCAACCTCCTCCACCCCTTGCGGTGGCAATGCCAGCTTCAAGTGTTTGTAGAAAGCAAACGCTGGATGTTAACTTCAACTGACCTCCTCCTTCCACTCTCTTGGACAATACAGATCTACATATGCTCCAGGAACAAGCTCAACCAGCTTTCCTCAAACTCATGAGAAGGATTTGATTCCTGGAGACCTAAGGACCAGGTACTCTTGCTATAGCCAGCTTTCATGGAGCACTCTATGAAGCTCTGAAGGTTTCATGAAGTCCAGCATGAGCACAGGACCAGCTCCCCTGTTTGACTAAAGAGAACAAACCTTTATCTATTTGACACCTCCCAGCAACAGCTCAAAAAAAGAAGAGTTGTAATTTGGTTTCTACTTTAATGAGAACTGAAAATCATTTCTGAATTTCACAGGAACTGCAACGAGCGCTAGGGAAAAAGAATAACGTTTCTGGTTTGCAATGCTAAGTGGGGTGTTTCAAGCATAAAAAAAATATATAAACAGCATTGCCTTTACTGGTTGTGACCCTGGAGGGAGAAGAAGCGCTGGTCTGTATTCCCCTGCCTGTGTAAGTGCACCTGGACGGAGTTATCGCCCAGCATCTCGCATACCGCTCCGCGTTTCACCTACGCTTGTAGATGGGTTAAGGCAGAGATTAATTTTTTGGTTTAGTTACTTTGACTGCAAAAGTGCAGCTCACAATCAGAATTATCTTTGTCATGCACTGGCAGAAAGACAAACGGCGTGATTTAATAGGTCTCTCCATCTTTAGCTTGTGGATTCTATAAAGTCACACAGAAACGCACAGGCGACTTATACAAAGTGCTACCAGCTGTGATAGTAACGAAGGGGAAACTCACTGGAATATGAAAGTTTGACAAGATTTATGTTTGCATCTTTGTAAAGAGACTGTGGTGCACTAGGCATGGCTGATTATTCACTTGACAGGGCTGTCACAGCCTACTGAACCTGCTTTACGTCCCTGTAATATTCAACGTACGGGGAAGGAGCGGATTTATTTTTCAGAAGAAGTGAAAAGTAGAGGGGGAAGGAGTTTGGTCGTTTGGGTGCAAGCGCTCTATAGCAGTTAGTCTAAATATTGCTTCATTTCAAATCCTGCTGACCCTGGGGACGTGGTAAGAGACGGTGCTCAGCGTTTCCTGCCCACCTGCCTCGCTCCCCTCTTCCAGACAAGCACGCAAGTGGCAGCAGGAGCCACCTCTCCCGAGCTTTCCCCTGCAGCGCTCTCCTGGAGGTACCCGCGATTGGTCCAGCAGCACGCACCTCCCTCCCCGCAGCGCCGAGGAGGCTCCCAAGGCACCTTCCTGATAAAGAAACCAGGCTGCAATTTGGCTTCCAGCGCTTCGCCCTCTCCGAGGAGGTGGAAGCAGAGAGGCTTTGAGTATCTGAGCTGCGCAAAGAAGGTCTAAACCTGCAGGATCTCACCACGCTAACCCATCGGATGCCTTTGGACCGGGATTGGCTTTCTCTGCAGTTGAGATCTGCACAGCTTTCCTGTCCTCTTCCTCATCATTTCACACGCACGAGATGGATTTTACTCACACTCCACGACCATCTTGGCTACCAGACCTAACAACCGAACGACAGCGGCCAGTTGAACGCGAGCAGAGCCTGGTCTTGCCTGCGCAGTGACATTTCTGCAACCTAACAGAATGTGAGAGCGACTGGCAGCAAACACGGGCCCAGATTTTAGCGAGAGCCGTGGTTTTCACTGCTGGAAAGAGTCTGCACCCAAACTTTCCCTGCGACATTCACGCTATGGCAGGAGACAGAGCAGCTTTGCAAAGCAGCCAGAAGCGCTTGCAGACACCATGGAGAAGCTAAACAATCTATTAATTTGATTATCAAAGCCTCGCTTCAAGGGCAAGGGTGGCTAATCAGAACCCAGAGCATTTCAACACAGTAAGGAGTCATCCCGGGGAGACCACAATTAACTCTTCGTTTGCCTTTTGGCACGTAGGCCCCTGTTTTCCCTCTCACCTCCACAAGGCCACTGGAGAGCTAAGCTCAGCATCACCGCAGCTCCCGCTGCCACATCAGTGAGCAGCCCCATACCCCAGTACTCCAGTGGCAACACTGGGCTCAGACTGGGCCCTCTGGGTCTCGCACCGAGCAGCAGGGGCAAACAGGCAGCTTCTGCGTGCGCACTTTAATTATCTTGCATGAAAAATAAGGTTACTGACACACCGTAGATTCAAACACAGTCAAGCTCCATTTAGTAGCGCCTGCAATTACAGGCGCATTCTCTGACACAAGATCCCGGCTGCTGGGAGAGCCTCCCATTTTCCAAGCCCGAGTTGTGCTCCATCCTCCCATCTGCAGTTTCGCTGCAGCCGCTCACACACGCATGCACACACAAGCACCCCCCCCCCCCAGCTCCCCGTTTTTGCTGAGATGGGAAGGCAGTGGGACCGGGGATGTGAAATTAGCATCAGATTTCTTGAGGAAAAGATTTTAGCATTACCCAGGGAAGGCAGATGGGGGAGAAATGGGAACACGAGAGTGGAAAGGGAGCTAAATAAAGAGCAGGAGCGACTCCTGAGGGCAACGCGCAGGCTCGCCATGGTACTCACTCAGGCTGCCCAGCTGTCGAATGACATTTGCCAGGGTGATGTTGGTCATGCATTCCAGCTCGCTTCGAACGCTAGGCAACGTCTGACGGCACAGGTGCCTTGGCTCAATGTTCCTCGTTACTAACGGCATGGTGGACCTGCTTCAGGCACTGTTCTGAAAGATGAAAAACAACCCAAAAAAGAAACAGGAAAGGATTACTCAACCGCAAATTCCAGGCACACCAGAGCCATGGTGTTCGTTTTTCCTGCTCTCAAATGGCTTTATTTATAAGCCTGCTTTCCCCCCACCTCCCCACCCTTATAAAACTGGTTCATCAGAAATAAAGATCCTGCTGTTCCACGACTCGCGGTGACACCAAAGCCCCGCCACCAGCGCAGGTACAGAGGCAGAGATGGAAAACTACACCTCTTCACCCACACGCAAGGTGCTGCTGGCATCGCCGCAGCCCTCGCTCCCTTCCTACCCATCCGCCTCCTCCGAGCGGTCTCCTTCCTCCCGCGCGCGCTCGGCGGCCATGGCGAGCGTCGCTCTTCTGCAGAGCGATTCCCAACCTGCAATCGACAGGTTTGCTTAAACCGAGGAGATGAAGATGGGAAATATTAAATAAACCAAACACACACACACACACACACACACAGCGGCGTCTTCCAGCACCAAAGCGTTCGTGGTGCCTCTCTCCTGGAGCAGCACAGGAACAACAGGAAGCGTTTGCAGCTGACCAGGAAACTTTCTGTGCCTGTTCCTTATCCTGCAGGCTGCACCCCTCTTCCCTTGGGAAATTCCCCGGGGCCCAGGTTTACACTGGACCATTGTTTTCCTGCTGCAGCAGTCGGACACGGAGGGAGCTCTAATCAGGATGCAGGGCTAGAGAGTGCTCAGAAAGAAGGCAGGACTGATTGGGCGGCAGGCAGGACAAACTTCCAGTTCTTTCTTTTTTTTAAAAAAAAAATAATAAAATTAGAAAAAGAAGTGTCCGGAAGCTACGCTTTGGATAGAAAATGCTTTCATGTGCAGGTCAGTGACTTGAAGTACCAAAAATCTCCTCTGCTAACAGGCCGAAACGTTGAAGCAACAAACGGCTCCCTCTCAGATCAGCCCCTTCCAAGGGAGAGGGGGAAATCTGGGTGAAGAGCTCGGAGCACGATACCTGCCCGAAATCTTCAGGACTATGTGAAAGCAAATACATCCCAACTTCTTGATTAATTTAGAAGGGGAAAGAATCCCTTTTCTAGGTCAGCTGAGGAGCCACCCAAGAGAAGCAGCCAGCTCCCATGTGAGAGGCATGCTGATCTGCTGGGCTGGGGTAAAAATAAAACAGGAAGCTGACAGCTTGGGGAACATGGCTTCCTGTCACCACCAGCAAAAACCCAAGAACCATAAAAAATCAGCTGTTTGCTCTTGACTTTGAGCCACCCTTTGATAGTCTCGGTGGCAGCTGGCAGCTTATCTTTGAGGTCCAGGAGTCCTTCCTGGATGCTTTTCTATCAGGGTGTTAAGAGGAAGAAGTGGGCATTATCCCTCCCTAATTACCTCACAAGCCAGCTTTTTGAATTGCTAAAATGTGACCCATGGAGGCAGAGGAGTTCAAGAGCACGGGGCACACGGATGTCTCCCAAATACGCAGATGCCGCTTGCCATTTCGCAACGCCGGGACGGATTTCGTGTGCTTGGCCCTGTGCAAGGAAAGAGCCCCCAAAACCCTACAGAAAAGGGGGAGCGAGAGCTGCATCCAAAGAAATAAAAGCAGAGACTCCAAGGACTGAAGCCCAAGCACTGCAGCAGCCACCAGTAACTGCTGGATATTTAAAGAATAGGGTGAACCGAGGCAGGACTCCGACCTTTGCTTCTAAACACCCCGTGTTTTATCGATTACAGCCTGAGCCCTACAATCTTTTGTCAGCTTTAGCGCCTGACGCCAGACAAACTTTCCCAGCTCCCCCCAGACTGCACCAAGCAGCGGCTCTGATAAACAAGGCAGCATTTGCAGGCTGCCCGCATCGAGCTGCTCCCCCCCGCGCATCCCCAGGGCTCGGTGGGATCCGCAGAGCCAAGCGTGGACATCCCATCCATCCGCTGGAAACCTTCCAGGGTGCGGGACAGACGGCAGGAAAACAGCACAGGGAAAAATCAGCCCGTAAGGGGGAAGAGATGTGAGCATGCATGTGGAAAAAAGGCAAAAAAAAAACCCCCAAAGATGAGAGTGAGCCAGGTCAGACGGACACAGGTAGCACTGATCTCTGCAAGGATGGGGAGAACAGGGCAGAAAATACCCACAAATAAACAAAGGCTCTGAATATGTTGCCTGTACACAGCCCTCTCCCCCAAAGTGTTTACCTTCAAAGCATGTCTGAAAACTGAAAGCAAGGAATAGTGGCAAAAGTTGATTTTTTTAAAAGAAAAATAACAACGATGCAGCACACGTAGGGCAGGAATTTGCACCAGTGCAAGACAGCAGAGATAAGGGTGAAGAAAACCACTCCCTTTCCAGCCTGCCTCATGCTGCCAGCCACCCCCAGCCACTCCACTGCAGAATCAGGAGTTTCGATGGCTACGACAGCCTGAGTACAGCAGCATCGCTTCTTCCCAAGGCAACAGGGACAGCTCTGCTGCCTCTAACACCAGTCGGGATCCAGCAAACAGCAAACTAAAACTGGGAGATTAACCCTGTGGAGCACGGGAGACGAGGCAGGGAGGACAGGATGGGCTGTGGGCGACCACCTCCCAGCAGATTCTGGGATAAGAGGCGTTTTAAAGCAAAATTTCCTCTCTTCGGAGCGGAAGGACAAGGAGCTTCAAGGTTTCAGATGTTTTTGCAGGGTGGAGGCAGGCAGAGAGGAAATGTGGGACCTCCAACCAGAGCCTGGTGCCAACATGAGCGAAAAGAGCAGTGGATGCCCCCACAGGGAGGCACTTCGCCATTAGACCTCGTTTTTCTCCGTGCGTCTTTGGAGGGCAGGTACAGAGATAACAGCTAATGGGCTCCTGTAAAACCTTCATGCCTCATGAGTAGGTGGGACAGAGATTAATAGTCTGGATTGGAAAATAACTGGTGTATTTCGAAAGCAGCAGGGAGGTGGGGCAGAAAATCGAGTGCGGGGAAGGGACAAGGTATGAGAGCAGAGGCAGAAGGAGGAAGCAAAACCCTGGAGACAGCACAAGGCACGCAGCTGGGGGCAGGGATGAGACACAGCAACCGAAACGAGGAAGGGCCGGACCTAAAAAAGCTTTCTAGGAGGCTTTTGCTTTTATTAAGAGAGTCATTAAGAAACGGATTGACAGCACACTCCCAAGCAAGGGCCACGCAGAACCGCTTTACTCGCAGCGGTCAGGGCATGACAGCGCAGCAGTTTTCCACCCCAGCCAGCCAGACTGGTCAGCAGGCATTACTCACTGTCACCTCACTGCTGCACACCATACATTATACCAAAATCCTACCATTCAGAAGCAAGTTAAATGAATTGCGAGGCCAAAATCCTTATCTTTCGGGCAAAGATAAGCGTTTCCACTCGTGTGTTCAAGTTTCAAGTCGTAGAGTTTGGGGCGCATACGCCGCTTGTAGGAAGCAGCAAGCCATGGGCACGCAGGACCTGTCCCCATCCCACTGGAACAGGAGGAGAGAGGGAGTGTGTTATAAGGGAACGCTCTGCAACAGATTTCTAATGAATATGGGGGGAAAAAATAAAAATATAGGCATCAAATTGAAACACAGCGCTAGTTATGTGAGGAGAGAAGTGATCTTTGCTGCTTGGGAGAGCCGTAAGGAAATGGGCCGACGCTGAAGCCGCTCATGTGCCAAATCCACAAACACCGCTGCATCAATAGCTGTTCAAAATACTCCTCCTCCCGACCGCCGTGCTTCACACCTTCTTCAAAACAAGTAATAAGGGCTTTTCTTATGGTAACAAACGGGTTTTCTCCCCTGCTTGAATCAGAGCCTTCCTACCTGCTCGCAGCAAGCATTTCCTCTGCTCTCCAAGTCCCGGCTTGACTCAAAGACGGCTCCAAGCCTTGTTATCCCGGCAGTGACTAAAAGCCAAACCATCCAAAAAGCCCCGCTTCGCCCCATAGCTCTTTTCCCCTCACCTCCCCGCAGCTGCAGCTGCCCCACCTCCAGCCAGGCATTGCCAGAATTCCTCATCGTTTCCCCTCTCCCGAAATGCTTACGCAGGCGTTGCCGAGCCCTGGCCCGCGCCGCAGCCCAGGAAAACTTTGCTGAGCACGACAAAAGCCCTGCAAGCCGAGCTCACCGCTCCTCCATTCCCGTCGATCTTCCAGCCACAACTGGCACCCCATTTCCAGGATCCACCAGGTTTTCACTTGGCAACTCCCTTCCCATCAGCTCCCGGGCTTGCTCACGGCAAACACGGTGGTCTCCGATGCCTCGTATTTCTCCAGGATCCATGCGCAGTGCTTCTTCACGTGGCTGTTGATTTGACATCCCATTCCTTCCACGAGCTCTCACCTTGAACGCCTCGCTCATCGGTTTCTAAGTGGATTCTGTCTTGGGCAATTATTTCTGTAAATACTCTCGGGGCGCTGGGGAACAAGTGTGGCACAACACGGGCCCGTAAAGGGGAGAAATGGCCATTTTTTGCCATTCTGAAGCCAGCACTTGGAGCAAAGCATGAGGTAAATTCAACGTGAGCGTGCAGCTCGAAGGTTTCTTATCTACACGGCATCGACCGCTCTCCCCGCGAGCGCTGCTGCAGCCGATCACTCAGGAATCCCAGCGCTGGATCAGAATCAAGTCCAATCGGTTTCTTTCAAGCAAGAAGTGCCAGTCTATAAACCCCTTGCACAAAGCTGCATCTTATTGACTATTTTTAATAAATAGGGCTGGCACAGTGAAATTGGACAATTGTTCCCACCAATAAAGGAGACAGACTTTGATGACAAGTATTGAGGAGCGATACAGGGCCGCTTTAGGATGGAGTATTTGCTTTCCAACGCGAGTTCTGTCAACTGAAAACAGCAACTCGGAGCAAATACTCCTTAACAAGCAGTTTGGAGCAGAGCAGAAAACAGCATTGCACAGCAAGAGAGAGGAACCAGCCTCTGTTTTTTTTAATATTTTTTTTGTACAGCATGCAGATAGCACCATCGAGATGGTGCAGAGGAGCAGGCAGGACGACAAGGTGAGACGCAAACACGCAA